AAATTTCTTATGTAAAAGAAGTCTTCCGATCTGAGTGAACGAAATTTCCACACCAACCCTATGGTCAAACTATTGACTTTTGCCAAAAGCAATAAAAATCCTTCTAGTCATCTTAAACAACTGTTAAACATTTTAATGACGTGAGCATGCCTTCACCAAGAAGTAAAAAATAGAAAAGTTTAACTAAAAATTAGTTTTTTTTTTTAAAATTTTAAAAAAAGTATTATTTACTTGAAGAATTAAATATATATTGTTAAGGAATTAATTACCAGGTAAACAGCATCCCTTGCAGCCAAGGCTGTGATATCAGAACAAGAGACAACTCTGCCACACTTGTTGTGAATAAGCTCACGGAGGTCATTGATGATTTGAAAAGCCTTCGCCCTCAAGGTCAGGTTGGGAGGTGCGTCCTGCTCACTTGGTCCACTGGCTGATCCCTCCAGCAAAACCGACCCATCACATCCCTACATTATTATTCAACTTTCTTTTCTTAGATTCACAGCAAACTCTTTACAAAATGTATTAAGGCTCATGCGCTAACCAGTTAATAAATTAATACGATATTAACAACTCGTTAACACAGATGTCAATAAGGAATGCGCACAAACGAGTTGTTAACAGCGTATTAACTAATATGTATATACAAGCGATAATCTACTACTCTAAATTAATAGAATTGACGAGTTAAATAATTCGAACTCGGGTGCAAGGAACTTGCTTAATGTGCTAAACATAACGCTGAATTAACTCACTAAGAAAATAAGTGGTCCATGCTTTTTAAGTAAAAAAAATACATTAGAAAATGAGTGACTGACAAAAGCATTGGTAGTCATGTCAGCTAGCAGTACTAGCTACTTTAATTAACACATCAAGATTAAAGTGGTTCAAGAACTGGTTTGAGAGGGGCAGCTCAAGTCAAATAATTCCCAATAAGTTGAACTTCTTCTTATATATTTTCGATAAATAAGTTTGTATTTTGAAAAAAAATGTTATGTTGTGATACTGTAAATCGAGATCATTATATTTTTATTTTGTCGGTAAAATGGAGTAATAAAAAAACCCCACAACTGACAAAGGACAAATAATTTTACTTTAAAATGTGTGGTCCAGGTTTTGAAGAAAAGTTAGATATTTGACATGAAAATGATGCCCTGTCCTATGAATTTAGCTGAGAGAAACATAAAAAATCTTGACCAAAAGAAAAGATGAAAACCTACCACTAACCCATTAAAGATTAGCAACCAGCCATTTGATCAAGGGGTTCAAATATATACAGTTGAAACGAAATGTTACCTGAACAAAGCAGTCATGGAAATGGAGACGAAGCAAGCCAGCAGCTTGGCCAATGTCCTTCTTGAAGACTTTCTTGAGGTGTTTTCTGATTATGGAGTTGAGATTAGGGCAGCTAGACTCGTAGAAGGACCACGAAAGCCCTTTAACCACAGGGACAGAAGGTTGTGCCTCTGAGACACAAAACAAAGAAGAAGCAAAGAGAGAAGAAACCAGAAGCAGAGACAGAGAGGTGAATGTAGCAGAAGAAGAAGCAGCCATGGCTATGTTTTTCTTAGTGTTTGTTTGGCAAAGATGAAGCGAAAGAGAGCCTTCTCTTTATAGGCAGATTTTTAATATTTTTATAAGGCTTTGGAGCAAAGAAACATTAACAAAACGACTTACTTTAATGACTTTTCATAGACGGCCACGTGGTCAACACATCTCAAGGCTTTTCACATCCATTGCAACTAGGGCCCACAAATTGTGAAATAAGTCATGAGAATCTTATCCAGATTAAAAGACGTACAAGAAAAAGGAGATGAATTTGAACCCTCCTTTCTAGCCAGGTTAATCAAACTTGGCGCCCAAGAATATAAACTTGTAATGATTCATTATTGGTCAAAAGCAGCAATTTTCACCTAGGTCCCTCCCTATGTGAACTATTTGTTTAACTTTTGCTAATTAATTGTTGAACTCCTCTAACGCTCCATCATCTAAGTTGAACTTGTTTAGAAAATCGTTGTACTTCAATCTACGGATAAGTATTTGAAACATTCATACTAGGCATTTTGGGTGTCAACTTGTTGGTTCGATTGATACTTGTACGTGTCCCCCGAACTCAATTCATATTGTTTAGTCCAATTTGCTTAATTTATTGAAAGTGATATGTTGTGGTTTGATGAGCTGCCCGATAACAACGTTTAATTTTTAATAATTTAGCGCATCGACATCATGTGTTTTATTTATCCATAATTTAGCGCATCGACTTTCACTAGAATAATATCTTATATTATGTTTGGTGCTAGACTTTCTTTTCAGAGGAAAAATATAATCTGTTAGGCATTTGAAGAATTAAAAGTTTGGAAGAGGAGATCTTGAATTAGATCAAGGAGCTCCTCAACACGAAAAATGTAAAGTAACCGACAAAACCAAATAGTTGTTGCCATGAGTTGAAAATATTACATATTTACCCTCTAATATCTTATCATTCGGGTTTATTCCACAACAACCCCACAAGTTTCAAATATCTTATCATTTTACCCTCTAATCACAATCACATACTTATATGAAGTTTTGAACTACCAAAATTAAATTTCCACTCCTACCCCCCTAAATGTGCAGGTGCCTCGTTGAGAATCCTACAATTTTCCACCAACTCCATATGAAATTTACCCTTTCAATTAAATTTTATTCTTTTTTAACGACCTAGTCGTTTGACTTTTAAATTTATTATAATCACTTTCCTTGAAATTCATAGTCGTTTGGGTTTGTAAATGACTAAACTCTCTGTACACGCCACAGCTCTTGCGAAAGGGGATTTTTCTACTGCACATATTTTGTCACTTTTTAAAATTAAAAAAATGTATTTGATTTTTTAAGTATCGAATTCAACTTTTTGGACCTCAAGTTTAAAAATTCTAAAAGGTAAAGCCCCTTTAAAATAATGAACTACATTTTCAGCTATAAAAAAAATACCAACAACATGGACTAGGGAGAGAGAGAGAGAGTAATATACGTGTTTGTTAGAGAAGTGATCATTAATGTGGTCAGTAAATGTGGTACAAATAGCATCATTACCTTGTATGTAGTTTTAACGTTATTTATAGTATTTTATTATCAAACAACAAATGGTTTTCCTTTTTACTACTTTTTTTAATTTAAGAACATTTTGGGGAATTTCTAAAATTTTAACCATAAACACTTTTTTCTTTAAATTAAATTTATAAATACATATATCGTGGAAAGCAATCTCTTCATTTTATTCGGCATAATTTTAAGGACGAAAATATTGTGGAAGATGCTCCCGCAGCTTCTGGACATCAAATTTCATATAATCAGAATCCTCAAAAGCATATATACATGTTGACCTAGAAATCAACCCAATTTCATGTTCATATTTTCATGACGAGCAATCAATTCTCAGAAGCATCTAAAAGGATGACTATCTATGCTCCTTATCAGGAAATTACTAAGAAAGTAATAATACATACAAAAGAATTAAAAAAAAAGAACATAACAAAAGGACCATTAGTTGTTCGGAATATGTCAATTAAAATACGTATTTCTTTGTTGACTATAGTTATTCAAAATCATTCAGCATTTTTTGGAATATAAACGATCATCTAAACTATTGGAGAGAGAAATTTTTCACATACACACACAACTATAATGCTGTGAATTCAAACCTGAGATCTCTAATCTGCAAGTTAAGGTCTTTTTCCACTAGGTTAGACCAACTCACTTGCCAAAACCATTTAGCTTTTGATGTTAATAATATTAACTATTTTTTAAGAAGAACTCAAATAATTAGTTGAAATATCAGGCAGATCATATTTTTCCTTTGTAATTTATCACGTGTCATATTTAGTAAAAAAGAGCCCAACAATTTTCAGTAACCACGTGAAGGAATATCTTTACTGAGGCTTGTGATTGATCTATGCACCCAGAGACATGATTTGATTGAGTGAGCTATGTACCCAGACTCAGAGACATGATTCAGTTCACTCAAGATTTTCTTTTTAAATATCGGTATAACTAATTGCTACTTTAATTATGATAGTTTCTGCCTTTTTTTATAAATGCAATTTGATTTTCAGACGAATCGAAATCAGGGATTTCAATTCCAATATATATATAAAAATCACAATGAAAATTCTTTTCCAATTCCGTTCCAAATATACTTCGGAATTTGTAATTTTTCAGAATCTCTACATGCATTCCAATCCCAATTCAATTTTTATCTGAATGTTCGGATTTTGGAATTCATTCAGACTTGTCAAAATCGGAAATTTTCGAGACGGAATTGGTCAGAATCTAACTTTCTAATTCAACTTACACTCCTACAGTTGTTCAACAATCTATAATGGCCTAACTAAAAGGAGTTTATCAATAATAACTATCACTTATTCTAAATAATAAAAAAATCATCCTTAGCTAATATATATATATATATAAGGTCAAAATAGTAAAAATGTTACGTGTGTTTTTACATGTTTGGATATTTTAGTTATTTAGTTATTAATTTAGTCAATTTAGTCTTTCAATTTGTATCCGTTAGTCACATGATTGTATTTGTGTTTGTGACTCACTTTGAGGGAACATGCCACATTTATTAACAGATACAAACACATTTATTAAATTGAGCGAAGGGTAAAACTTAAGTATCATTTTGACATTTCAGCAAAAAAGGAAAAGAAAAAAAAGTGCTCAAACAAAGCTTTCTCACTTCCAAAAGAATAATTATATATTGTGTAACGAAAAGTGGCTTTGAGCATGTGGCTAATCATTATGTTAATACTGAGAGTGTGAGAATAAGAGCACCTCCAGCCTTTACCCAAGACTGGGCAAAAGGCCCCCCAAGGTAGCCCAAGACAGCTCCAGCGGAAGAAAAATGGCCCGGGCAAATGGTGGGTCCCATTGAACTGGGCAAGCCCATGGGCAGATCTTGCCTGGGCTGCAGCCCGAAGGCGCTGACGTCAGCGCTGATGTTACGCTGACGTCAGCGAGTAAAAAAAATTCAAAAAAATCCAAAAAAATTTCAAATTTTTTTTAAAAAAATACCAAAAAATTATAGATATTTTCCCTATAAATACATAACAATTTTATTCACTTTCTAAATTGTTT